CAATCTTAGGACTAATTTATTCTCAAGGTAAACCTTTTAGAGCTTTCTATACCTATTTTTACAGCTGATCTAGGTATCACTATAGCAAAACTAATACTTATAGTTAGGGCTAACTATTAAATTGTTATGTTCTTGTAGAGTTCATACAAACCCTAGCATCTACTTTACAGCATATCTGAAATACTTTAGTATACCTCTACTGGTTCATCAAACTCCCAATTCAGATAGTCTGATAGGACTTACAACAAGTCCATTAGTATATCAGGTTGGCCTGATATCCTTTTTCTTTGGCTCAATCTGGCAGCCTGGTTGGTGGTACTTCTCACCTAGAGGTTTTTGCCTGTCCAGCTACTTCGACCTTGGTATTCATTTCATAAGACTAGCCTTTACTATAGGACCATTAAAGTCTGGCTATCTCTCTACTCAGATCTTTCCAAATGAACTTCTTGTTATCCAATTTCAATGGATTTACATGGCCACAAGAACTTATTTAGTGTTTGCATCACCCAATTTGTTGATTTGCATTCCTCTATGTAACATTATACTTACACAGATGTTCTATGACCTGCCAGTCATGCTGGTGCGATCACTATTACAGGTATCTTAACCCAATCATTAGTAACAGTTGCTGTAATATGAATATTACATAGATAATTATTCAAATTTTCATTGTTGATGGAATTTGAACACCCAACCTACCACTTGGAGGGTTGACAACCTGCCCATTTCACTAGGTTACCACACCTTCTATTTGTATATAGTTTACTAAATTAGTAATATAAAAGAACTTATAAAAATAAATAAAATACTAATAAAATTGTAAAAAGAAGTATTAAGATTGTATAAACTCTATAAAGATATAGTAGTTTAATAGTTAATTTTGATTGCAAGTATTGGTTTCAATTATAACAATACTAAATTAATTATAAATAGAAATATAGAAGAATCTAAAAGGTTTATCTTAAAGATAAATTAATTTTAAGATTAAAATAAAAATCTAAATTCTATAACTTAGTAAAATTAATATAAGGATGCAAAATTAAAAGGTTTAAAACAAAACACTTAAGTAAAAAAATTAAATATAAAAAACCTTTAGACAAACTTCTTAAATAAGTAATATAGAAAAGTTATATATATAGTTATATACTTTAACTATAATAGTTTTTTTAAAATGATCTCTTGACTCTTTTAACTTTTATTAACACTTTTTGGTAATATAGTTTTGTATAAAACTATGATAAAAAGAATGTACAATTGACTATATATATAACTTTCTTATATTATCTATTAAAAAGTTTACTTAAAAGTTTCTATCAATTGCTATATCTAATACCTTTGCTTAGATGTTTTATTTTAAATTCTCTAAACTTGCAATTTGTATTAACTTTATTAAGTTATATTTAAATTATAGTTTTATTCTTAAAATTATTTTATCTTTGAGATAAATCTTCTAAAACCTTCTATATGTTTATTTTACAATTAACTCAATATTACTATAGTTAAATTAATACTTGTAATTAAGGTTAACTATTAAACTATTTATGTCTTTATAGAGTTTAGCTAAAATTTAGTACTACTTTATAACATATTTTCAATACTTTAATATACTCTTATTTTTGTTTTTAGATTTTTAATCTAGATAAATGTGATTTATTTCTTAGTATATTAGGTTAGTTTATATTTTTTTTTTTTAGTTTAATTTTAGCAATTAGGTTGATGATATTCTTCATCTAAGATTTTTACTCATTTAACTCTTTTATATTGATATTTGTTTTTTAGGTTTAACCTTTACAATAGTACTATCAAAAATTTATATTACCTCTTTGCTTAAGTCTTTTCAAATAAGCTTCTTGTTTTCTAATTTTTACAAATTTATATAATTACAAGAACTTATTTTAGATTTATATTATATGATATTGGTTTGCATTTCTCAGTAAAACTAATTACATAAATGTCTCATAACTTACCAGTTATACTAATATTATTATAATTACAAATATTTTAATCCAATTATTAAAAACAATTATGTATTATAATATAAATAAAAATATAAATATTATTGTTACTAAGTTTTGAACTTATAAAATACCAATTGAAAAATTGACAACTTATCCACTTTACTAAATCATTACACCTTTTGTTTGTAATAGTTTTATGTAAACATATTATTTAATAAATGTTAATAAAATCAAAAAACCAAAAAGATTATCTTAATAAAAAAAAATTTTTTTTGGCAAATTTTAATATAAGCTCTAATCTTAAATTCTACTCTAATATAACTTTAACAAATTGAATTTTTTAATCTTAAATTTTGAATTATATTGATCTACAAATTACATCTATGTTTATTTACCAAAGTAAATTAAAACAATTTTTTTAAACAAGTATATATAACAGTATATATATTTTAAAATTATATATTTTTTTAATTAAATTTAAATAAATTTTTTTTGTAAAATACAGTATATATAGCTTGGGGTGTATCAATTCATTTAGTTACATTTGAAGCTCAGTATATGGTATGTTTTATAACACACAGAATAACTTAATTTCCTTGTTTTTAACAAAAAAAAAAAAACAAACAATATTTTAATGAGCACGTTCCTCCAACTTTGCCTCAGCCATTCTATTCAAAGCAGAACCAGCTTTAAACCATTCAATTTGATTTTCGTTAAATGTATGATTAGCACTAATATCTACAGTTTCTCCAGATGTTTTATGAAGCCTAAGTGTAAGAGGTTTTCCAGGTGCAAAAGTTCCCAAGCCAATAATTGACATCTTATCAGTTGGATCGACTTTATCATAATCTGAAGGATTGGCGAACGTAAGTGGTAAAAGACCTTGCTTTTTTAGGTTTGTTTCGTGAATTCTGGCAAACGATTTAACAATTACAGCACATCCGCCTAAATGACGTACTTCAAGAGCTGCATGTTCTCTTGAAGAACCTTCACCATAATTTTCATCACCGACTACAATCCAAGAGATTCCTAAATTTTATATCATTTGTAAATATAATTGACCAAAACATTATTACCAAAAAAAAACGAAAAACAAAAAAATTAAAATAAATACCTCTAAATTTATAATCTCGAGCAACGTTAGGGACAGCATCATACTCTCCTGTGAAAATATTCTTTACTTTATTAACAGCATCATTCTCAGAGTTCACGGCACCGATCAACATATTATTTGAAATGTTGTCTAAGTGACCACGAAACTTAAGCCAAGGACCAGCGGCAGAAATATGATCAGTAGTACATTTGCCCTTAACTTTGATTAAAATTGGAGCTTGTTCTATATCTTTACCATTCCACTTGGCAAATGGTTGTAATAATTGAAGGCGATTGCTTTTAGGATCTACTTGTACTTGAACAGAAACATGATCTTTTGGAGGATATTGATAGGTATCTTCACCAGGATCATATCCTTTAGGAGGTAGGTCGGCACCATTCGGACCATCAAATTTGAATGGTTTACCATCAGCACCAATAAGAGTATCAGAAAGAGGATTGAAACGTAAGTCACCAGCAAAGACCATTGCAGTAACAATATCAGGAGAAGTAACGAAGGCATGAGTTGCAGGATTGGCATCATTACGACCAGTGAAATTTCTGTTATATGAAGTAATAATAGAATTTTTTTCGCCTTTCTTAACATCTTTACGATCCCATTGACCGATGCATGGACCACAAGCATTTGCTAAAACTATACCACCAGCATCGGTTAAAATTTTTTCTTGACCATCACGTGCAATGGTTGCACGAATTTGTTCAGAACCAGGAGTTATAGTGAATAAAGATTTAGCCTTAAGACCATGATCAAGAGCTTGTTTAGCAATAGAAGCAGAGCGAGACATATCTTCATATGAAGAATTAGTGCATGAACCAATCAAACCAACTTTAAGATCTGATGGCCAACCATTTTCAGTTACAGCATCCTTAAATTTGCTTACAGGAGTGGCAAGATCCGGAGTAAATGGACCATTAATATGAGGTTCAAGTTCAGATAAATTAATTTCAATTAATTGATCATATTCAGCACCTTCGTCAGCGCGTAAATTGTGAGCAAATGATTCAGCATAAGCAGCAATTTCACCACGTTGAGTAGCACGAAGGAAATCACCCATACGTTTGTTAAATGGGAAAAGAGAAGTAGTAGCACCAATTTCGGCACCCATATTACAAACTGTAGCCATACCGGTACATGATAAAGATTCAACACCGGGACCAAAATATTCGATTATAGCACCAGTACCACCTTTGACAGTCAAAATACCAGCAACTTTAAGGATAACATCTATTATTATTATTATTTTTGTTGTTATTATTTTTGTTGTTATTATTTTTGTTGTTATTATTTTTGTTGTTATTATTTTTGTTGTTGTTATTATTATTGTTATTTTTTGTTGTTGATATTTTTGTTTAAATTATTCAATTAGAAATTAGTTGAGATTAGTTGAGATTATTTAACCAAAAACATTTATTTAAAAACACCTTATATATAAAGACCTTTAGGAGCAGTCCATCCACTTAATGAACCAGTTAATTTAACACCAGTAACTTTTGGACATTTTAATTCCCAGGGAAGATCAGCCATAACATCGACGGCATCAGCACCACCGACACCAATAGCAACCATACCCAAGCCACCGGCGTTTGGTGTGTGAGAATCAGTACCTATCATTAGACCACCTGGAAAGGCATAATTTTCCAAAATGATCTGATGAATGATACCAGAGCCAGGACGCCAAAATCCAATATTATATTTAGCACAAGCAGAAGACAAAAAGTTATATACTTCATGATTAATTTCTTTTGCACGTGCCAAATCTTGAGGACCACCTATTTGAGCTTCAATTAAATGATCACAATGAACAGTTGTCGGAGCTGCAACCTCAGGCATATTAGCAGACATGAATTGAAGAAGAGCCATTTGAGCGGTAGCATCTTGACAAGCGACACGGTCTGGTCTTAATTTAAGATAAGAAGAACCACGAACAATATCTTGTCCAGCAGCATCATCTAAATGACCATAAACTATCTTTTCAGAAAGGGTCATTGGACGGTTAAGCCTGAAAAGAGATAAGTGAATAAAGAAAATTTATAATTATAAGATCAAATTCAATCATTATTATTCAAAATTCATTGTGTACACCATGAATCATTTTTTCATTGATTTACCTATTATTATTTTCAAAAACTCTGTGGTGTACACATCGAATTTTGAACATTGATACAAATTCTTATGCAACTAAAATTATGAAATATCGATTGTAAGAAAATGATTTTATTAAGAAAGCAGCATAATAATTATTAACCTTTTTCTCACAATGGCTAGATTATCTTCAATTCTCTGATAATTTATGTATTTGTCAGGTTCAAATTTGGACATAGAAACCTTCTTACTACTAATGGAGAGCACTTGTGCATAGTTGCGTGTATTTACTCTCCTTGCGGCCTAGTTGAAATAACAAATTTTTTAAGTGAAAAGAAAATAAAAGAACAGATAAGACTAAACGTCTGAATACTAACACATAACGTTTTTGATAGTTGACGAGCAAGCATTATTCTTTAAAAAAAAAAAAAAAAAAAAATACAATGTCGAATATGCAGGATTATAAACTAAAAATTTATATTTGATCGAAATTTTTACCGGGACTCAAATCAGACGCAAAGTTTAATCTTTTAGATTAACTTGATTAGAAAAGTTAAATTTATTGGCTTATCAACATTACCAATGTGACACTTGATATGCTGTATTGGTATGCCACGCGATGTGTGCTATTTACTGTATTAATGTAATGTAATGTAGTTTCGCAGAATTTAGTATTTATCGTTACGGAAATTTTGTAGGTCGTTGAACAATTGTGTTTAAATATGCGTATTCATCTTGTGTAGCTAACTCTAAATGTTACCATCGGAGGGGACCGATACACAAAGATGTAATAATAACGGAAAAATGACATATTGCGAAATAATGATATAACGAATTTAACATATAGTTTGAAGACTAATTAGTAATAACGCATACATACATAAACTTATGTATACCGGGTCCTTAGATAAAAGATTTTTTTTAATATCGATATTAAATTTCAGTTTTTTTTTTTGCAATGATTTTAAATTTCAGTTTTTTTTTGCAATGATTCAATTTCTGACAATCCTATCAAGAACGTACTCATCCCAAATAATAAAAATCAACTAACAAGTATTTAAAAATAGATGCGTTCTTGATACATAGGGGTGTCCGAAATTAATGATATATTAATTACATAACGAATATATAATAAATCATAAAAGGATAATCAAAAGTGGGTCATTTTCTAGGAAAATCATTGATACGTACGTACTTGCGATTTCCTTAGCAGATGACCTAAATCCGTCATTTAGTGCATTTAGTGATTACCCATTTAAGGACATTTTACCTACCCGGGTATATTTTAGTCGAAATATGTACATATGATTTTTGCATATTTATGTTGTACGTCGAATTAAAATTTGTGTCACAGAAACAAAATTTTGAGATTATAATTATTTTAATCTGACACAGATGTTAATTTGACACAAAAATAGGGTCTCGAACCAAATTAGGCCACACAAATTTAATTTCTTGGTTTTCATAACATGAAATTTTCAAACAGACCCGGCCGGCCGGCTTTTTTTTAAAAAATTTCATATACAAAAATGTTATAAATTTTTGTTTTAAAACCCACCCGGTTATTAAAACAAAAAAAAATTTTTTTACAAGTTTTCGAAGTTTGACCCGGTCGGTTATAAAATCAATTAATTAAATTTGCATGGCCTTACTTACAAAATCAGAAATATTTCGTAATTTCGCCGAAACGAAATAACTTTGGCTCAGTTCACAGAGTACAGTCAGACCTCTCCAAATACAAGCTAACGGGAAGCTCGTATTTAAAAAGACTGCAAATAGTGTATAATTGATTTTTTTATCAAGTGAATATTAAAATTTTAGAGAATGTTTTTACAATTTCAATAATGATAAACTTTCAAGATATAAGTAAAAATATTTTTTTATCTTTGCAATTATATACAATATACTACATTGTATATTTTATAATATATAATATGAGTGACGAAAAGGGAAAACCTGTAAATCATCTCACTCAATAAGTGAAATGATTTACAGGTTTTCCCTTTTCGTCACTCATATAGTAAAAAGCTTTGCAGTTATAAAGATATTTGGTTATGAAAATATTTTGGCTTATACGTATTTAACAATTTTATCATATATATATATCTATATATACGCATAATTATAAAACTTTTATAATTTTACTAGGTTTCGCCTAACAGCTCTAGTTGAGAGTATGATTTTTTCTTGCTCTGTAAACATTAATACTATTCTAAGCTATAGATGACTTTTGAGACGATTTTTTATAAGTGAAACGTTATGTTCTTAAAGAAATACTTCAAAATACATAAATAAGTTACCAGCAATTGTTTGTATTTGGCAATAAACAAATTTTCGCGTAAAACTGTATGATGGTTCTGAGAACTTAATAGCAGAAATCCTTATATCTTGACTAAAATTTCATGCTAAAAACTTATTTACAATTTTCTGCAATTTTTTGTTTTTTACGTTTAGAAGTAATATAAGGGTACCCGTAGAAGTTTAAATAGCATTAGGTTTGTATAATAACTACTTCCATTCAAGTTTGGGCCAAAAGTTGGTCGATCGTCACGGCTTCACATAACTTTTAATGTTTCTATAATAACGGTATATCAACAAAACATTGAATAAAAGCTATTTTTTCGTAAAAAAGATACCTAGCCAGTTCCTTCTCCAGAATAAGCAGTTTCCACAAAACCCCCCCCCCAAAGGACCCAATTACCACTTTTACACAAAAAAGTTTTTCGTTTAGTTAGAAAAAGAAGAACGTTCACAGTAAGCCATCCACTGTACATCAAGTCTGATTACTTGACTAGTAACTTTCGCGAACTGTGGCCTAGGGTAAGAGGCACAGGGTCTCTGGGCATGCCCATATCATGTGATTATGAAAAGATTTCACGCGTATGTTTGGCTGATATAAATCTAATATTTCACTTTTTATTCATAAGAACACTAATATTGTCTGCTGTTACTACATAAAACAATCCCAAAACCGAATCACTACCTAAAATTCAAAAAACTAATATATTCTGTATGAATTTAATATTATAGAAATTAAATCCTGAAATTATTACGCAGAAAATGCATAAATGAGGTTTATATAGTAATAATGTTCTTATTTTCTGATTCAAATACATATATAATTATCAGGGTTGGCATGGACCGGTCAATGGTCAAGCTTGACCAGACCAGTTGGTCAAATTGGTCAAATAATATATAAAGTATATAAATATATTTGTTTATTTATTTGTATATTAAAATTATTTATTTAATAGGCTAGACCATTTGACCAGACCAGTTCGACCAACAAATTTTTGGTCGACCAGTGATTTGACCAACTCTGATAATTATGTATGTTTGATGCTAAACGAAAGCTATTTATGTTGCACAATAGAGATGCAGGCGAATCTTCTCAATAATTGTCGAAACTAGTTACGACATAGGCTTTAGCTAGTTTCGTAACATCATTAGAACGATTCGCCTGCACCTTTATTGCACAAACAAAACTTATTATATGTTTTATATACTAGAGGCATGCTCAAGGCACGATAAGTAGGGCATGCCTTGGTTTAAGGCATACCCGAAAATTTTACCGTGCCTCCTATCCTACTGTGGCCACGATGCGCTTCCAGTTCCTTTTTAATTATCTTATTAACTTCCAATATGCAAAATCACTAACCTTTTAACCATTTTCTTAGTCTGGTTTCCTTGGTCGACCTTCACGTTGATTGTTTACAACAAAAGAGAGAAACAAAATCAAAATAATAAAAAAACAAGTCATAAAGGTGTTTAAAAAATACACTGCATACGTTATTTTAAAACTTTAACCTGGTTATGAATAAGCAATATTATACAGCCATATTAGACATATAAAATTTGTTTAAAATTTCACGCTCTTAGATGATTAAAAGAACTATAGTTATAGCAAAATTTTATAAGGGAAACCTTTTTATAGACTAATGGTTTGTGTTTTGATTTTTTGCGTTACACGCAATCTCGATAATGCTGATTTGTTTGGGATCTACATTTTGCATATATTAATGTATCAGTATAGTAAAATCCCTTCAAAATATATAACATACAGTCAAACCTCCCAAACCTGATCCTGTCAAGACTGATAACTTGTAATAGCTGAGTCAAACCTGACAACTGATATTTATATCAGGTTTGACAGATAAAATAAATTGATTTGATTGGCTCAAATTAGATTTCGTGTAACATATTATAAAATATAAGAAATAAATCTAGCCAATCATATTTGTCTATAGTTATTTCAAAACTGATAACCTGTTAAAATTGATACAAAAGCTGGCCACTATGCATTTCGGTTTAGGAAGGTCATACTGTATATACTGTAGTTAAATATATCATACATATAAGGTGAAGGAGGTAATTTTGTAGGATTGGTAAAGTGATACTAATCAAATGGCGTAAAAAACATTTGATTCTAATTAACAGATTTTATGTAATTGTATGAATACTCTTTGAGTACTGTGGATGAATTTCATATAATACATATAACAGGAAGAACCTTCACCCGGTGTACAGCATATAAAAAAATCATTTTACATAGTACATGTTATGATTATAATCCCACACCATTTTTATTATAAGTTATAATCATAACATGTACTAGCGGTATTGTAAAATAATTTTTTGATATATTGCACACCAGGTGAAGGATTAGTCGTGTAACATCGACGGTTTCTCCCGTTAATGCATATACTAATAATTATTGCCGTTAACAGCTGTCAGTCAATCCACTACTTTATCTTCCGACTGCTAAATTTTTGATATTATACTTTGGTAAATCCATACGTATAACAAATTTCTTAAAATTAACTGTTAAAATTATGGAATTATATTATTTAATGGGTTCTTATCTGTTCTGAATTATTCATATTCCAATTAATATATATTATAGTTTGCTTAATTATATCTAAATTATGTTATAATTAGGGGTGGGTCGGTTACGGTTATGACCGGTCATTGACCGGTCATAACCGTAACCGATATCGGTCGGTCATAGGTTT